CCAATCCTACACCATCCCGAAGCCTGAAACCTTTCAGATTCCCACCCTCCACAGCCCCCTTAAATCCCCCCCACACCCGCTCCCTCCAACTCCCCCTTCTCAGCCCACAAAGCCTGCAGCGTCCCTCCATCTCCTCTCATTCCCCACCTACAGGGACCCCCGTCAGCCTTTCCCAAAGCCCTCGCCATCCCCGTCCCCCACCCCGGACTCACCGCCGCCCCACCGCCGCCGCCTCCAACTGAGTTCCGGCCCCGCCACGCGCCCCGTTCAAATCCCGCCCGCAGCCAATCAGCGCGCAGCGCCCCGCGCGGGGCACGCCGGGAGTTGTAGTCCTGAGCTCCGCCCCGCGCCGCGGAACCGGACCCGAGAAAGGGGGAACGGGAACGGCCCGGAACGCGGGGCTGGGCTGAGCGCAGGGAAAACGCTTCTTTATGGCCCGGAAACGTTAAACGGGATGGGAAAGGAAAACTGTGCGGGAAGGTCCGGGCGCTGTGGGGCAGCGCTGCCGCTCCGCTCCTCCCCCGCGCTGCGCCGTCCTTGGCGAGGAGCGGCCGGAACACGTGCGAGATACCGGCGTTATCGCAAAGCGCAGCGCGGCGCTGCGCCCGCGGGGAGAAAAACCGAGAGCAGCGCAGCCCAAACAGCCGGCAGGCAGAGAGCGGGGCTCTTATCGGAGCTCTTATCGCTTCAACCGCCGAGCGATCGCCGCTCCGCGCGGTGCGGGGCGAGGATTTGCGATGTTTGTTTCTGTGCCGGTCCGGGCGCCGAGTTTCCCCAAAACAAACCGAAAGGAAAAGCTCCCGTTCGTTTCCACGGATGCTGCAACAAAGAGCACGGCGAGGTGAGCTGACAGGAGGAATTCCCAGCGGCCGAATGCCGTTTTTCTGCTCAGCTCTGCGTTCCCATCGGCCGTGGATCAGAGCCTGCAGAGCGGTCCCGCAGCTGCACTGATGGCAGCGTTGCTCGGTGCTGCCCACGCGAAGTCGATGAGACATGAGACATCATTATCAGCATGTATGACGTGATTAATGCTTGCTTGCAGCACCACAGGAGCCTCTCGGTGTTGTGGACGGTGATTGTGGTGCAGGTGGGGAGGCAGCTGCACGGCTGTTCTGCCTTGGCAAAGCAAAAGAAACACAACAGAAAAACCGTGCCGGCTTTATGGAGCACTTAAAGCAGGATCCGAACACCGGGCAGAATTGGCTTAAAATCCGACTGAGGGCATTAAGGCATTCCCTGCTGTTGTCCTTATCTGTGTGTGCACAGATTTCTCTGCGCAGTCCACGGCATCTTTTGGGATGAAAGGAGTCGTTGTGAGGCTCTCAGGGGGTTAAAGATAACGGAGGTGTTGGAGGCGACCGCAGAGGGCCAACAATGGGCTGACAGCTGATGCTCACAGCTGTGAAGAGCAGCAGATAGGGCTGCACGTGTCGGGCAGTCGCTGGGAGCGGATCGCGATTTGGGGAATGCAATGAGTGTGTAACACACGAGGAAATGCAATCTGTTCACGAACGATCAGCTGGGGGACCTGGGGGGGGGGAATTTTTGGCTGCCCGTAAGAATTCCTTCGTAGCAGTAATAACGCTTTTGCTGGCGCGTTTCTTTGAACCGATTCCTTCGTTTCACGCCTTTCTTTGGCCCGCGCAGACGGATGTCAGACGGCTCCACACCCGGCCGGGCGGCGCTGCGGGGATGCGGGCCGTCCGTGCTGTGACTGCGGAGCTCCGGACCTCCGCTCAGCCGCGACGCAGCGGTCGGAGCCCGATGCCAGCCGCGGACCAATCGCCGCGCGTCTTTCACCCGCGACGCGCGGTGCGTCCAATAGGAGGCGACGCTGCTCTCCCCGTCTCCCTCGGAGCCAATCAGCAGCGAGTTGCGGAGCGGTGGGCGGGGCCACCTCCGCGAAACCGAAAGCAAAACCAAAACGCGGCCTTGAGGGCGGTACGAGGCGCAGCGACGGCACCGCGACACCGGCACCTTGCCGTGCCACCGCCCCACGGCGGAACGTCACCATCCCGACGCGCAGTGACCCCGCTGTGGCGCAGCCCGGGGCCGCGTGCTGTGTCCCGGTGTGTGTGCGGTGCTGCTGTGGCTGTTCCGTGGAGCTGCTGTGCTGCTGTGGCTGCAGTGTGGCTGTTCCGTGGAGCTGCTGTGCTGTGGTACCGCTGTACTCCGGCTGCCCCATGGTGCAGCACGGTGGTCCCAACCCCACTCCTTGCCCTCCCCCCCCCAGGAGTGATGTTTCTGCCCAGTGTGGCCAGCAAGGTGGTGGGTGTTGTCACCCAGCTGTGGCACGCTGTGGCTCTTTGCCCTATCAGTGGTTCATGCAGTATATTCACTAACAGAGCCCAGTACATTCACTAACAGAGCCTGGTATATTCACGAATAGAGCCCAGTATGTTCACTAACAGAGCCCAGTATATTCACTAATAGAGCCCAGGCATTTTCACTTTGGGGCAGCGCGGGGTTTTCTGGGAAAGCACAGGAAGCAGCGTCTGAGGGCGGGCCGGAGGGGGGTTTTCCTGTTCTGTTTGCAGACAGCAGCAAAACCATGGAGGCCACGGTGCCCAAAATGTCAGCTCCGCTCTGCCTGGTGCACAACGAGGACTGCAGGCTGTCCCTCAACCCCGCAGCGCTGGCAGTTCTGCGCAGTGCCACTCAGCCAGTGGTGGTGGTGGCCGTTGTTGGACTTTTTAGCACTGGGAAGTCCTTCCTGACGAAGCGGATGGCACAGAATTGCACCGGTAAGCTGGGGGGGGAGGGAAGTGGGGGGGGTTTCTCTCCATTCTGGGGGCATTTGGGGAGATTTCTGATGGCTCTGTGCCCACAGGCACCCCACTGGGCAATGCGGTGCAGAAGAAAACAAAGGGTATCTGGATGTGGTGTCTGCCCCACCCGTGCAAACCTGGCGTGATGCTGGTGCTGCTGGACACCGAGGGGCTGAGAAACCCCTGCAAAGTGAGTGCGGGGGGGGGGGGGTGGCTCCATACCTCCCCCAGGCCCCCCCTAATCCCCTCTAACATGGCTGTGGGCGCAGGAGGACGACCGCAACGATGCCTGGATCTTCACGTTGGCTCTGCTGCTTTCCAGCACCCTGGTGTACAACAGCATGCGCACCGACAGCCGGACGATGCTGGGGAGCTTGTGGTACGGGGACGGCTGGGAGGGTGGTGATGTGGTGACAATGGTGACAGTGTGAGTGGCGACACGGTGACACGTCCAACAGTTTGCTGACGGATCTGAGGAATTACGTGCGCGTGCGAGCGCAGGAGGATGGCACTGACCCAGCAGATGAGTTCGCCCGTGTCTTCCCTGACTTCGTCTGGGTCGTGCGTGACTTCAGGCTGCAGGAGGGCGAGCGGCCCATCAGCGCGGACGAGTACCTGGACCAGATACTGCGCCCACAGATCTGTAAGGCAGCCACCGCGCATCCCCATCTGGCGCCGTGTGTCCCTAAGGGCAGTGCGCTGTGCTGACACGCAGCGTCTGAGGCACAGACTCAGATGTGAACGATCCAGATCCTTTACTTCAGATTCTAACACCCCAAGCTCTCTCCCGTAACTTTCCATCCCTACAACATGCCCAAAACGCTTAAGTCTCCTTCATGTCCAGGCAGTAGCAGCCCACACAAATGCTCGTCCGCTCAGAGCTGTGTGTTGCTTCTACTCGCGCTCCTCCAGTCAGGGTCCTCATCCCGCGGGGGTTGTACTGCCCTGGAAACAGCCTTTGTTCTCAGTGTCTTCTTTCACACCCCATCAAATTTGTAGGGTTCATTCTACAGGGGAACAGCAAGGTGCGGCACTGCCTACGCAACTTCTTCCCCCACCATAAGATGTTCATGATGGAGCGGCCGGTGGCTGGCAAAGACGTGGCACAGCTGGAGATGCTGCGGGACGATCAGCTACAGCTACGCTTCCGGCAACAGGAGGAGGCCTTCTGCCAGCACATCTGGAAAGAGGCTCCAGTGAAGATGCTGCTGAACAACAGCCCGGTGACAGGCAGAAGTGAGCAGTGGTAGCGTGAGGACGGGTGGCACGCGGGGGATGTGGCGCGGGGGTGACGCGTGCGGGTGGTTGTCACCTCTCAGTGCTGGCGTGCTTGGTGGAGACTTATGTGGAAGCCATCACCAACGGCTCCGTGCCCTGCGTGGAGAGCGTGCACATGGCGGTGGCAGAAGCTGAGAACAACGCAGTGGTGGAGGCGGCGGCGGCCGAATACCGGCGGGGCATGGAGCAGGACCTGGAGCTGCCCACGGCCTCGCTCAACGCGCTGATGGCCGTGCACCACAACTGGAAGAAACACGCCATCACCTTCTTCCTGTCCCAAGCCTTTGACAAAACCGAACAGCTTTACCAGGCGCTGCTGATGGTACGTCACCAGCACGGCGTGGGGCTGGGGCTGATTTCTGTGCACTGAGTGCTGCTTTTTTTTTGGCACAGGACAAACTGGAGGTGGCCAAAGAGGAGTTCTGCTGGCGCAACGAGAAAGCGTCGGAGCAGCGGTGCTGTGAGGTGCTGAAGGAGCTGTGGGGGGACATGGAGCTCCGCATGCAGCGCGGGGACTACGTGGTGCCGGGGGGGGTGTGGCTGTTCAAGAAGGACCTGAAGCGTATGCAGGAGGAGTACAAGAGGAGGCCCAACAAGGGTGTCAAGGTGAGCAGGGGGTGGGTGCGGTGGGTGCGGTGCCAATGGCCGTGCCTCACGGTGGTACCGCCAGGCAGAGGAAGTGCTGGAGAAGTTCCTGCGGGAGAAGGGACTGGAGATGACCGAGACGTGGATAGATTGGGTGGACCAGCAGTGTAAGGCGGTGCTGGCTGAGGCGACAGCTGTCACGCAGGCTGTGGAGAAGCAGCTGGAGGAGCAGCAGCAGCAGCAGGCGATGTTGGCTGAGGTGATTGCAGCGAAAAAAGCAGTGGAGATGCAGCTGAAAGAGCAGCAGGAGCAGCAGCAGGTGATGTTGGCTGAGGTGACTGCAGCGAAAAAAGCAATGGAGAAGCAGCTGCAGGAGCAGCAGGAGCAGCAGCAGGTGATGTTGGCTGAGGTGTCAGCAGCCAAGAAGGCGGTGGAGAAGCAACTGAAGGAGCAGCAGCAGCACCAGCAGCAGCAGCAGGTGATGTTGGCTGAGGTGACTGCAGCCAAGAAGGTGATGAAGAAGCAGCTGGAGCAGCAGCAGCAGCAGGTGACCCTGACCAAGGTGACAGCTGCCCAAGAGGCAGCAGAGGCACGGCTGGAGGAGCAGCAGCAGCAGGTGGTGATGGCTGAGGTGACAGTGGTCATGAAGGTTGTGGAGAGGCAGCTGGAAGAGCGCTGGCAGCAGTGGACGCAGCAGCTGCAGGAGGAGCAGAGCCTCATGCTGTCCCAACGCCTGGAGGTGAGCGCAGTGCTGGTGCTGTAGTGCTCTCTGGCTGTGATGCTGTGGGTGCTCTCTGGCTGTGATGCTGTGGGTGCTCTCTGGCTGTGATGCTGTGGGTGCTCTCTGGCTGTGATGCTGTGGGTGCTGTGGGTGCTCTCTGGCTGTGATGCAGTGGGTGCTGTAGTGCTCTCTGGCTGTGATGCTGTGGGTGCTCTCTGGCTGTGGTGCTGTGGGTGCTCTCTGGCTGTGATGCTGTGGGTGCTGTGGGTGCTCTCTGGCTGTGGTGCTGTGGGTGCTGTGGGTGCTCTCTGGCTGTGGGTGCTGTGGGTGCTCCCTGGCTGTGGTGCTGTGGGTGCTCCTGGCTGTGGTGCTGTGGGTGCTGTGGGTGCTCTCTGGATGTGATGCAGTGGGTGCTGTGGGTGCTCTCTGGCTGTGATGCTGTGGGTGCTCCTGGCTGTGGTGCTGTGGGTGCTGTGGGTGCTCTCTGGCTGTGGTGCCGTGATGCTCTCTGGCTGTGGTGCTGTGCACTGTGGCTTTGGGGTGGTTTTGTGCTGCAGCAGCGCATTGTGGTCGTGCCGTGGTAACGCCAGCACGGTTTGCCTGTGGCACACTGTGCTGCAGCCGTGCCATGGAGGTGCTGTGTCGGTCTGAGCCCACTCCTCATCCCACAGGAGTTCGAGGTACGGCTGCAGGAGAGCCATGGGCGCGAGGCGGCGGCGCTGCAGCAGGTGGAGCTGACGCAGGAGGAGGAGCAGACAGCGCCCTCCTGGCGCTCCACGCTCCTGAAATTCCTGGACAAAGTGGTCGTGCCGATCCTGATCAGAGTGGTCAACAGCATAGTGAACAACGCCGCCTAAATGGACTCCTGTAAGCTGTGGAGCAGCCCCCTGCCTGCTGCTGCCACAGTAATCCTGATGGCACTACACAGAAGTTGTCATTTTGGGGCAGCGCGGGGCGCTCCGGGGAAGCAGGGAACCTGGGGGGGGGGGATTGGACGTGGTGATAATTGTGAAACAGTGACATGGTGACAATGGTGACAATTGTTATGTGATAACGGCAGTGACACAGAAAGGCTCCGGCCCCCCAGGGATCAGTAAGGTGTGAGGGGTGGGGGTACCTCAGGCCACGTCCCTATGGGATGGTTGGAGAGGATCCACCCCCCATGGGGATAACAGGAGGAAAATGTGGGGTGCACTGGGACGTGGAGGAGGGGGCCACAGGAACACACATGGGCACTATGAGAGTTCCTTGGGGACTGGGGGGAGGGGAGGAGCGCAGGGACCTTTGGGGACACTGACATGAGGGGGCCCAAAGTGCCATTGGGATCCCATAGGGACCCAAGGGGGCTGTGATACCATCCCCAGACTGCCCCAGAATGGTCCCAAAATGTCAACTATCAGTCAACCATTACACCAGTGACTTCTTGGTCACCAGGGCATGGCTGCTGGCTCACAGTCAGCTGCTGGCCACCAGGTCCCCAAGGGTCTCCACAGATCTCCTTTCCAGCAGCTCAGCCCGACCTGCACTGATGATGTGGTTGTTCTTCTCCAGATGTAGGGCTCTACAGCTGCCCACACTGAACCTCGCCAGGTTCCTCCACGCCTGCCCAGCTCCCCTGCATGGCAGCATGGTGTTCTGCTGCGTCAGCCACTGCTCCCAGCTTTGGGCCATCAGCAGACTTACAGAGGGTGGATTCTTCCCCTTCCTCCAGGGCACTCGTGAAGATGTTGAACAAGACCGGACCCAGCACGACCCGAGGAGATTCTGCCAGTTTTGCTCCGTTTTTGCTGTTGGTGGCACTCGAGTTGTCCATGGTGGTGCTCAGGATGCTGGCTGCAGCGCCCAAGATGCTGGTGGCAGCACTCAGGACGGGGATGCACTGATGGGGCATCCCAAACGTAGGGCTTATTTTATACTAAAAACGGCACAGTAAAACCGTATTTGTTTTACCCATTTCAGCGTTTATTGAGCTGCAGTGTGCAGCACGTGGGAGTGTCTTTGGTCCCCGGTGTCCCCGCAGTGCTGGGGAGGGGGGCAGGGGGGGCCCTACAGGTCACGTCCGAGCCGCTCAATCTCATCCAGGAAGAAGTCGAGGTCAGCCCTGGTGACGGCAGGGCTGGTGACGATCTGTCGGAAGAAGTTGGGCCTGGCGCCGTGGGGCTGGTAGCCCACCATCATGGAGCCCTCCTTCATCATCCTCTCCTTGATGGCGGGGGCCACCTGCGGGGGGGGGACAGGAGCTGGGGGTCTGGGTGGGGGACGGGCGCTGGGCAGAAGGGGGGATCACCGGATCCCACGCTCACCTTCCCCAAACGCAGCTCAAAATCAGCACAGCCCTGTCGGCCCCGCAGGCTGGGGGGCACAAACCAGAAGCAGAGGTTGAGGAATTCGGGCTGTGGAGAAAAGGGAGCGGGGAACAGCGTTGGGGGCCCCGTTCTGGGAGCTGCCGTGCGCCCCAAAGGGGTGACGCTCCCCGCTGCCACCCCCATAGGGCTCACCGCCCCCTTCCCGTGGGGCGCAGCAGCGCATCGCAGCCTACCTCCAGCACCAGCTGGAAGCCATCCCGTCTCTTCACCTCCGCGGCCAAGTAGCTGGGGACGGAGAGGAGCGTGAGCGCCCGGTGGTGGCACCTGGTGGTGGCACCCGGCAGTGGCTGCTGCGCTCACCGGGTGCAGGCGAAGGCTCTGTCCACGCGCTGCTCCAACCCTTCGGTCCCCACCGCCTTCCAGAGCAGCCAGAGCTTGAAGCAGTCGACGCGGCGGCCGCACTGCACCGTCTTGTCCCCGGTGTCGAACGTCACGTCGTAGAATTTGTCAGCCTGGAAGAGGTACGTGGCTCCTGTCCCGTGGCAGCGCTGCAGCAGCCCCTGTGGGAGAATGGGGTCAAAGCGTAGTTGTGGGGGTCCCCAGAGCTCCCCAGGGGTCTCAAAGGGATGCAAGGCGTTCCCAGGGGGTCCTGGTGGGGAATGATGGGGGATCCCAGAGGATCTGAGGGGGTCCCAGGGGTTCCGTGCGGGTCTTCTTGGGATCCTGGAAGGTTCTGAGGGGGTCTCGGTGGGTTCCACGAGTTCCCAATTGGGTTCTGATGGCCTTCAAGGAGTGCCAGGCTGTCCCAGGGGTCCCACTGGGGTCTAGAGGGGCTCTGGTGAGTTCCTACTGGGGACCCGAGAAGGGCTACAGGCATAGCAGGGTGGTACCAAAGGGGCCGGGGGGTCCCAATGGGCTCCAAAAGGCTCCTGCTGGGGTCTCAAGGGGATCCTGGTGGCATTCTGGGCAGGTCCAGGAAGTTACAGTGGGTTCTAAGGGGTCTCTGGGCATCCCAAGAAGTTCCCAGTGGGTTCCAAAGGGTTTCAAGGGAGTTTCTGTACGGTCTGAGGGACTAGAGAAGGTTTCAGAGGGTTCCCAGTGGGGTCCTGAGGAGTCCCAAGGGGTCAGAGGGGGTCCCCGTGGGACTCACGGAGTCATCTCGGAGCAGGAAAGCCGAGCACTGCAGCCCCACAGTCAGCATCTTATGGGGGTTCCAGGCCACCGAGTCAGCCCTACAGTGAGGAGAGGGTTGGGGGGCTCCACGGATGTGGTCCTGTATCCCCACAAAACACCTCCTGCACCCCTTTGGTGCAGGTACCTCTCGATGCCAGCCAGGAGGTGCCGATGCTTCCTGGAAAGCAGTGCGCTCCCACCCCAGGCGGCCTGCGGGGCAGAGCGGGGTGGGTGGGGGGAAGCAGGGCTGGGGGTGCACAGCAGGGCCCCCCCCAGGCACTCACATCCACGTGCAGCCACAGGCCGTGGCGCTGGCACACGTCTGCCACCGGGCCCAGCGGGTCAAAGGCGCCCAGCACGGTGGTGCCAGAGGTGGCACTGACAAAGAATGGCACGGCACCCTGGGGACAGGACGGCGTGTGGGGATGGGGGACATCAGTCGGGGTCAGGGGACAGCACATGGGGACGGGGGTCCCCCGGCAGTCATCCCTGCCCTGGCCTCACCTCGCTTTTTGCCCTCTCGATCTCCTTCTCCAGCTCCTCAGGGATCATCTTCCCCCTGAGGGACGCAGTGGGGCTGGGGTCAGCAGCGGGGCCGGGGGTCCCAGCGCAATCCCAGCATTAACCCGGGGTGATCACGGCGCTCCCACCTCTCGTCTGCACGCACCAGGACGACGTTGTCAGTGCCGATGCCCAGGAAGGCAGCTCCTTTCTGGATGGAGTAGTGGCACTGTGGGGACAGCAGCAGGCGGGGGGCTCAGGGTGTCGCTCCCACTGCCACCCCCAGCTGTGCCCATCGCCGTGCCCACCTCCTCTGAGGCAAAGAGCACCAGGCGTGGCAGCACCCGGCCGCCCTGCCGACGGCTCTCAGGGAAGCGCTGGAAGCGGGCCACGTTCATGGCAAACATGTTGGAGATGGAGCCCCCTGCCCAGGCACAAGGACAGCAGCGTTGGCACCGAGGACACGCCTGGAGCTGGGGGTCCCACAGCAATCTCCCCCCTCACCGGGGCAGAAGATGCCGTCGCCGCTGTTCCAGCCCACCAGCTCTCGCAGCTTGGCCAGCACCACCTCCTCCATCAGCACAAACACCGGGGCGATCTCATAGGTGTACCTGGGGGCACAGCAGGGGGGGGGAGTGAAGCCACTCCTTGAAGTGAGACCCCCACCCGCACCCGCAGGCACGCACTGGCTGGTGTTGAGGGTCTCGGTGAGCAGGCGTCCCGCCAGCGCGTGGTGGTCCAGGCCTGAGAAGAGCTGGTTGAAGAAGCGAGGGTGGCCTGGGGGGGGGGAGAGGGGGTTGACAGGGGTGTCAGTTGATGGAAGGGCTGAGAGACACCGCGCCAGTGGTGATGGTGACACGGTCCCAACAGGGCCTCGGGGACATGGCTGCCAGAGGAAAAGGATCACCTGGGAGGGAGACAGCCACTGCTGCGTGGGTAGCAGAGAGGTGAGTGGGGCTGCTGGGACCTATCGGGGTGGCAGAGACATGAACGGCACTGCTGGGACCCAGCTGGGTGCCAGGGACACGAGTGGGGCTGCTGGGACCTGTAGGCTGGCGGGGACTCGAGTAGAGCTGTTGGGAGCTGCGTGGGTGGTGGGGACACGAGTGGAGCCGTTGCGACCTTTGGGCTTCTGGATCCGTGATCTCGGGATCGGGGCGGGGGTGGGGATGAGGGTAGGGACTGGGGTGGCTCCCAGCTCTCACAGGTCTTCACGCTGTAGCGGATGACATCCCGGCAGCGCTCCAGCAGGCGGCCCTCCGGCTCCCCGTGGCTCCGCAGCTCCAGGTCCAGCAGCTCCCGCAGCTCGTGGGGCTCCTTCCATTCACAGACCTGCGGGCAGCGCCCGGCCCTCAGCCCCCACCCGAGAGCCCCCAGCCCCCCGCTTCCTCCCCCACGCTCCCACCTTCTGAGCCACATCCGTGCCCTTCCTGACCGCCTCCTCCAGCAGCACCTGAAAGGCTGCACGCAGGAACTCCTCCCCGGCCGCCCCGTCCACCGCCGGTCGCTCCAGGTCGCCCCACTCCGCCATTGCGACCCGGTGCCGTTTGGGTCGGGGTCACCTCTGCGTGTCTCCCTTCCTGGGGTCGAAGCCCCCCCCCGTCCCTTTACGCCTCTCACCCAAATCCACGCGGTGAGCTCTGCTGTTTCCCAGCGGTGCCCTCTGTGCACACAGGGACAAAGTCCGCAGCGCCGCCGGCAGCAGCTGACAGCGGGGTCAGAGAGCTGCCAGGACGTCCCAGCGCCCTCAGTGTGTGCATAGAGGGGGGATTGGCTGCGTTCTGCTCCATCCACTGCCCCCAGTCTGGAACAAAGGGGACAGCAGTGGCCAGGGGGGCTCTGGGGAAATGGAATTGAGTGCACCCTCAGCAAGTTTGCTGCTGGCGCCCAGCTGAGTGGTGGGGTTGACACGGTGGAAGGAAAGGATGCTGTTCAGAGGGACCTCGAGAGGCTGGAAAGGTGGGCCTGGGTGAACCTGATGAGGTTCAACACGGCCGAGTGC